TCCTCGCTCCCACCGCACCCCCCTTGTCCACTCTGCTCTGACCACACTGGCCTCCAGTCCCCCAAGCCCTCCAGGCACCTCTCCTCAGAGCACCTGGTTCTGTCCTGGGCTGGGATGTGGCTCCCCCTCTTTCGTGGACCTGCCGCCTTTGTGTCTCCCCAGCACTTACATACTATTTTATTTATCTTGTTTATCATCTGTCTGTCTGTCTCCCTTACTAAACTGTGGCTCATGTGGGGATTCTTGCTGCTCACTCGAAGCGCCTAGAACAGGGCCTGGCACACAGCCACAGCGTAAGTGAACGAATGAATGAGTTCTCGCCTGCCATTCCCTTGAGAACTGGGGTCTCGGCACCCCTTTGAGACCCGGACATGGGGTCATTTTCAGAATGCTGACACCCCACTCATTTTAAGTGCTCTCACTGGTCCTGCAGCAGAGTTGGGGAGCCCTTAAGAGCGTTTCGCTTGCTTCAACTGTTTCCTGGGCCTCCTGCTTCATGGGGATAATGTCTTTCAAATGTTTCCCCTGAAATTCTTGGTGTAGGTTTAGATCGTGTGTTCTGAAGGCAACAGGAGGCACCTTGCAACATCCTAGACATGGTGATGGTTCGCCCAAGGATAAAGGGGGAGGGGAGGGGCCTGCCCCTACTGGGTGGAGTCTGCGTGGGTGGTGGCTGGAAAAGACCTTCAGGGCCAAACCGCAGGTCCTCGGCACCCAGATCTCTTTCCCAGGTAGAGAATAGACAGCTAAGGGCTACCTTCTCGTTAGTATGGCTGAGGCCATTTCTCAATATGGTGATCTGGACACACAACAAGATAGAAATGAACCAGAGAAAGTGACCTGAACCACAGAGCTCAGAAGGATTCCAGGCCGGGGGGTTCACATGCCTTGGGCTCTGCAAAGCTGAAAGCTCAGAAGCGCCTGGACTCTAAATAAGAATAAGCAGACAGGCTGGGTGGGATTCGGGTTCAGTATTAGATCTCAAGAACATTCTCGAAAGTTCAAGTAGACAATTTGGTGATTTGAGGATAAAGACGGGAAGTTCTGCTTGACATACTAGCTGGGAAATGTGGGCCCCTCGTTCCCTTGAAAGCTGCAGGTTGAAAACATTAACATCGTCTACAAGAGCTGAAATCGGTCCTGGCCGGACAGCTATCTGGTGGCTGCCGAGGAAGTTTAGAAATGGGAGTGGGGCCTCCTACCGACCGAGGGCATGTTCCAGTCCAGATCTGCCTTTTCATTCGGTGGGCTGGTGTCTAGCAAGAAAGGCTGAGAAGCTCAGTGAGGAGGACACGTGTTTTTGCAGAAGTCTCCCCCTTGCTCTCCTGGACCGGCTGACTCACGAATGAGAACTTCAGACCTCTGGGGTCTTAGAGATCTTGTGTTCCCTCTACTTTGATAGGTCCCGAGAAGGCCATGATTTTAGTGACTTTTCCTGGGGTGGAGCACAGCCAGTCTCAGCCCCCCGCCCCCCAGTTCACATCTATCCAGTCCTCAGAGTGTGGCCTCATTTGGAAAGAGGGTCTTTGCAGATGTAATTAACTATCTCAAGATGAGAGCATCTTGGGCCCAGTGACTAGTGTCCTCAAGAGATGAAAGGACAGAGACACACGGAGAGACAGAGAAGGTGGAGGCAGAGTCAGGAGTGAGGCTGCTACAGACCAGGGAGCCACCACGAGCCCTCAGAAGCTGGAAGAGTCATGATTGTCCTCTAGACTCTGCCGGGACGGGGGTCACTTCCTGCTCCTCAATCTCAGAGTTCTGGCCTCCAAGGACTACGAGCGAAGACATTTTGATTGCCGTGAACCACCAAGTTCATGGTACCTCGTGATAGAGCCGTTACAATACACCCCGTCTCCATTCATTCATCCTGCTCCATGCCGGTGTCCAGGCCCAGCGCTGGGCCAGACACCTGACCGGCATCTCACGGGTTTGCCGAAACAACTCTCTCCTAGATGGCCGTAAGGGGAGCCACCATGGGCAAGGCTCTGGGATTTGCTGGGCAGATGTGTTGGAGAATGGGACTCACATCTACCGGCAGGCCGAGCTCCTGGCTGGCAGCTTTTGGAACATACTGTAAATTCAACAATAGCAATGTGACTCTGAGCGTTCTAGTACATCTCCAGGAAACGCGCCCTCGGGTCTGGTCTTCTACCCCTCCTGGAGCGCAGGATTGGGCCCTGGTAGGTGGCCTTTGCCTCCCCTGGGCCTGCCATCATGACCCTGGGCACTAGGCCAGCCACTTGCCTCATTCTGGACCAAAGGCTAAAACAGCGACTGCAAATACTTCCAAACAAACAGTCCACTTCTCCCCCTAAGGTCAAGTCAAAGTCAAATACTCTGGAGGCCGGGTCAGCCAATGAGCTAGCCAGGAGCCTTGGAGGGAAGGGCCCACACTCTGAGATGTTTTTGTGGGAGGAACCTCAGGGGGGACAGCAAATGAAAAAAGAGTGCAGAGAGCAGTAAGTCAGCAAGAGCCTCCCCCTGGCCCTGGCTGGGTTAACCTCAGCGCATCCACGAGCAAGGAGAGAGGTGTCCAGGTTGGAAGCTTCCAAATCCTGGAGTTTGCTCTAAGAAAAGCCCTCAGTCGGGCCACCTTTGCAGCCTAAGGCCCACTGCCCCTTTCTCCCCACCATATTGCCAAATCCTGTTTGACTCAGGTCATTACTGGAAGCGGGGTGTCAGTCTCCATCCCCACCCCAGAAGGTAACAGCTCTCTCCTGGACATGCCAGCTGTTTGCAGAGGCTGTGGCCCTCCTCCCTTCTTTCACTTTTGGGGGGGGGGTCTTTCCTCTCCAAGTCTGATCCCACCTGAATCCAGGCTGCCTTCTATTCCCACCAAGGCAGGCTGCCTCCCCAGCTCTGGCAGAGGCCCCAGGACCCCTAGGCAGAGGCCCCAGGACTAGCCCCAAGTCCACCTTCCACACTGTTCCAACCCACCTGGCCATTCCCCGTGAACCCCTCTCACTACACTTGGTCCTTTGACCCCAAGCATCCTGAACCCCTAAATGCCCCTGGCACTGGAGTTTGTCCCAAGGCCCTTTCACAGGCCCCAGATGGTCTCAGGCAAGAGGCTTTGATTCCAAATTCCCCGCCATGACAGCAAGTGGAGAGCTCATTAAAAAGTAGCTCCAGTAATTGGTCAGATAATTGCGCGTTACAAGAAGGGTGCTTGGTGGGCCTGCCTGGTCCCGTCCGTGTCAATGGCACTGGGAGTTTCATAGGCCCCAGGAGCCTGTTTCTGGTGACTTGATACCAATTTAAGACCTATTTGTAACTGGCCCTGGGTTTATTCCCTGGAAAGGAATGTCCAGTCTAAGTAGGCGGGTCCATGATTCCCAGTCCCGATCTCGTAGGATGTCCCCCAAGCACTATTTCACCCGCCCAAACCATATACTTCTTTCAATTTAGACTTGTTTATAATCAGTCAAGTTCTTCCAGATTGACTAAAAGAGTTCATGTGCCCACTGTAGCCAGAGCGCTGGGCCAGACCCAGGCCTCGGGCCAGCTGGAGGAGTCAGAAGAAAGTTTCTGTGGGATGCAGACAGGGAAGGAATGACAATCACACCAGTTGTCCCAGCACCCTGGTCGTCCTCAAGGACACCCTCCTGTGCCATCCTGACCCGCCACCAAGGGCTTTTGGGAACCGAAACTGCTGAGCCCAGCTCTTACATCCCCCTTTCGGTGTGTCCAAGGGTTAAAAACACTTCCCGAACTGCCCTCCCAACTGCAAGGTCAAGCAGCTGTCCAAACCACCCAAGGAGACGCCGGAGCCTGGGACAGCGACCCCAGCTAGCCCGGTCACCGCAGGCCCCTGGGCCAGCCGCCGGCGAGGGAAGAGTTAACGGGCAATCAACTTCGGCTGATAGTTCAGGCTCCAAAGTTCAGCCCCAGTCAGAGCCACCCCGGAGGAATTGTAAATCTCAGGGAGTATTTAACAAAACAAAAGCAACCTGGAATTACATGCAGGTTTGGTTTTCTACAGTACATATTTACTTAATCCCCTAGGTATGTGGCTCCATGTCAGATCAGCTGGCTTTCCTGGCCCTTTCACCCCCCTGGCTCAAAACAGTTTTAGTTTCAAACTAATTCCCTGTTTTTGCTCTTCCTCTTCACAGGGCCGGCTGGAGACAGCCCAGCCTGCCCGCACAGAATCTCTCTCTCCTGTGGCTCTAGACTCTGGGTGAGTCAGCCTGGCTGGGGTCAGAGTTGGGTGACAGCCGCTCACCCGCCCCACTCTCCAGCAGCACCAGGTCCTGGAAAACTGGAGGAGAGGTCCTGGCGCGGGCGAAAAGGGGAACGGCAGCTCCCTGGTGCCACCTCCCCAGTTCGTGGGGAGGGATCCCCTCCGGGTCTGTATCTGGGGGAGGAGGCAGGGCTGGAGGTGAGAACAAGGGCCCTTTATCGGCTCCTGGCTACCGCTGTCCAGATTTCCAAAAACCTGGGCCTCCCAGTGCCTGTCAGGCCGGGCTAGACCATCCCAGACCACTCCCCCTTTGCAAGCCCAAACCAACTATCCCCTCTCCTCGTGCCTCCGGAGCTGCAGCCGCACAGGTTGGGTCTGGGAAAAGGGTTGCCAAGGAAAACACCAAGCGCCAGCGAGCAGGCGGCTCCCCTACCCAGGAGCGCACACACCCTGCACCCGCCGGGGTGGTGCACAGAGGCGAAGGCGAGGGGGGGAAACACAACACCTTCCTTCGGGAGACAGGAATGCGGGGAATGGGTGGGTCTCCCAAGTTTCGGGGTGGGGGTGAACAGCCAGACAGCCACCTATCCCAAAGGAGCGGGTCGGCTCCGGACCTGCCAAAAAAGACAGTCTCGAGCCGGGGAAATTTACAAGGTGAAACTGGCTCGCTCAGCACTCGCCGGCGGCGCCGAGAAGTAGGGTGGCCGGCGGCTCGCAGACTCCGGGGCGCGGGCGCGGGCAGAAGCAGCAGGTGGGCGCCCTCGCCCCCCGCGCCCCGGCCGCCCCACCCGCCGCAGGCGCCGCGCCCGGGTACCTTTCTGGCGCCGCGTTCTGCGAACTCGCGGGCGAGCTGGCGCCCGATGCCTCTCCCGCCGCCGGTGACCAGGACGTTCTCCCGCGACAGGTCCCGCAGCTTGGCCGGCAGCACCAGCCCCACGGCCGCCTTCGCCACCAGGTAGAGCATCTGCAGAGGGAACAGCAGCAGCGCGCCCAGCCGTCGCCACACCATCCTCCGCGCCCCGGAGCCGGGCAGGGGCGAGACTCCCCGGGCCAAGCGCACAGGAGTTAAAAAACAAAGCACCCCAGACAATAATAAATAAACCGAATAAGGGGGAGAGAGACGTCCCACCTGGCGACTCTTGGAATCACCTCTTGCCAAATGCAAAAAGCAGCGGGTGAGAAAAAGGAGGAAAAAAAAAAATCAAAAGGCAGAGCGATCTCAATGCGCCCCGGGAGGAGAAAAGGCGCCCCCCAAACAGCTGGGACAGGGAGAGGGGTCGGGGCAGCCGGAGGTGGAAAGTTCTAACAAGAAGTTTCTTGCCCCAGCAGCCGCTCCGGCTGGGGAATTCTCAGGTAATGTTTACAGGCTGACAGAGGAGTTTAGCAGGGGAAGGAGAGAAAAAAAAAAAAAAAAAAAAAAAAAAAAAAAAAAAAAGCACCAACCACACGCGCGCACCCGGCTTCGGCCCCGCGGTTTCAAAGTGCAAGATTAAAAAAAAAAAAAAAAAGAAAAGGAAAGAAAAAAGAGCTGTTTCCAAATTGCAGCGCCCCCAACCCCTTCTCCGGGGGGACAAAAAAAGTGGGTTGGGGGCAAAGTGCTTGGAGCTCCCAATTTCAGCGGCCGAAGCCTCCCGGCGCGGGGCTATTCCTGGGCTCGGGAAATTGCTTCCGCGCCGTCTGATTGCCAGCAACGTGCAGCAGAAGTGGGGGGTCCGGGTGTCAGTTTCTCTACGTGCATGGCTCGCCCCGGCGCGCGCTCGCGCCCGCTCCCTCCCTCCCGCTCCCTCGGCTGAGGCTGGGTGTTGCCGCTCGCTCCGGCTCCCTCTCTCTCCCTGGTGAGCATTTATTGCTCCTTTTTGTCCTTTGCAACTTGGAGCCAGCCCGGGCGCCCGGCGCGCGTGGATCGGGCGCCCGGGTCTGCGCCGCCTGCGTCTCTCGCCCCCGGGGCCGCAGCCGCGCGCGGGAGAGGGCGGCCCTTCCCCCCCCCCCATTTTTTTTTAATACCCCATTAAGTCTGATTGACAGTTAAAGTTGCTCCGAGGCTTCCCCACCGCTCCTCTGAGTGGCTGCGCGGCTTCCCCACCCCCCTGCGCGCGCTCGGGGCGCGCACCCGGGCGCGCACCCGGGCGCGCTCCGACCCGCGCTCTCCCGGGCCGGCTCCCCTCCCGGCAGGCCGGGGCTTGCCCGCGGGGCCCCGGAGGGCTCGCAGCCCGAGCTCGGGCACGCTGGAAGCGGCTCCTGCTCCCCGGCTCCCGCCCGGAGACGCGCCTTCCCGCCGGGACGCGGGCGCCCGGACAGGGCCGTCCCGGGCCAGGTGATCGCCCCTGCGGGAGGGCCCGGCCCGGGACGGCGCGCCTGCCCCGGCCCCACTAGGTCGCTCAGGGTTTATTTCAGGTCATCTGGTCACCCCCAGCCTCCAGGTAGGACCTGGAAGCCACTCCCGACCTTTGCCCAGACGCCTTCTGTCTTCACTTAGCGAGCGCCTCCCGGCTGACCCGAGTCCCCACATGGCTGGGGGTGGGGATGGCGGTGGGAGGCGGTGGGGATCAGCTGGGGAGCCGGATTTGGTTTTGTGGGGAGGGGGTGGGCAGGGTAAAGGAACCTCTGGCCCCAAGGTGCCAATAAAATCCCCAGAAGATTAGCTGGGAGCATATTTATTGCTCATCTGGGCTAGAATTACCTTGACTGACAGCAGTTTCCTTAATAACAAAAGCCTGTAAACAAAGCGTCCTAAGCCCGTACCCCCTGCACCGAGCAGGCAGCCTCCTCTCTCGGGTCTCCTAAGGCTGCCCTCCTGGGGACGCCCGCCCTGTGTCTCCTGCCCTCCCCAGCCCAGAAGGTGTCTCCTGCCCTCCCCAGCCCAGAAGGTGTCTCCTGCTGGAGGGTGGGACTCGCTGCTTACTTGTCTGTTGCAGGAAGTCTGGAGGTGAGTCACTCACCAGCAGCCCCAGTTAAAAGTGCTGATGGGACTTGCCTCCCACTGCCCCTGACCAGTCCAGGCCAGGAGGAGAGCGTGCGCTGCCCTGTGCTCTGGGGCAGCGGTTCTGGAGCCTGAGACTTGTTCAGAGTGTGGGCCTCGACCCCCGCCCCCCTACAATCTGCTTAGCAGGGAAGGGGGTGCTGGTTAGTACCTGACCTGCTAGTTCTGCAGAGGGTTGGTTGGCAGAGTTGCTTTGAGAAGTGCTGGTTGGGGTGGGGGAGGTGAGGGGTCGGGGAGGTGTTACCTCCTTGGCTGGGCCTCGGAGACCCTCCTTCGAAACTCATCATCTGGAAAGCTGCTGTAGACCAAAAGAGGGGAAAGGTCTTGGAAGAGGGGGTGCCCACATTGAGGGTTTACATGCCGACACCTGATCTTTCCACTGACTTTGCAAGAGAGGTGTTAACTATTCCTGCTTCCCGCCGAGCCAGGAAGTGCAGGATGGAGCCAGGAAGTGCAGGATGGAGAGAGCCGCGTTCAGAGCAGGGTCCCCTCCTACCCTCCACCCCCCACATACCTCACCTGGCTTTGCCCCAAGGGAAGAAGGAGGTGGCAGTGAGTGAGGCTCCCTCCTGCCTCCTCCAGCCAGCCAAAAGCTTGACTCAAGGACCTCATCTGACTCCCAGGACGCACCTAATGGCTGGGCTCCATCTAGGTGACTGCCTCTTCCCAACTTTGAGGGCTGTAAAAATGGAAAAGGAATTTCACCGTGGGAGAGACTTGGCTTCCCCAGCCAGCTGCGCAGAGGGTGTCCCGGGGCCTGCAAAGGAGACCGAGGGGCAAGGCCTGGGCCTGCAACCTGGAGCCCGGCCCTGCTCTCATCCCTTATCCTCGAAGCCGCCTGGCGGCCGGGCCGCGACACTGCACCTGCAGGCCCCTGCCTCCCGCCAGCCTTCAGGCTCCTGCTAACTCCACAGCTGTCTCTTTCTTCCAGGCCTTTCTTCCTCCCTAAGGTTAACAACCCAAGCCTAAATGGGCCTGCAAAGATCACACCCCTCCTCCCCACATGCCTGCTGCTTTATGGAGGAAGAAGCAGAAGCATAGAGATGTTAAGCAGCTCATAAACAGCAGAATATTCACCTGCGTCTCCTGGTCCCCAGCCAGCTACCCCCAGCTCAGATGCCAGGCCGGCCAGGTGACCAGGAGGTCCTGCTTACCGTTCCTTCACCTGGGTGTGTCCTTGGTCTAGAAAGTGGGTGGTGGGTGGGAAGGTGTTGAGGACCCCAAATCGATCTTCACCGCATCAGGCCACTTATAAATCACACACGGCCACTCAGGTGCTTTCCTTACCTTTCCAGACCATTAGGTCTGGGGTGAAATAAGAGTAAAAAAGAACACGTGGCATTTCTAAAAAGGGTTGGGGTTGGACTGGCAGGGGAACAGACATCTTTTTTTCTACCTGTTTCACCTTTAGGATGTGGGTTTTCTGGGGCTCTGCATCCCTGTACTTCCAAAGCTGTCCTCCATTATCAGGTGCCCAGAGAGATGCCATCTCTCACCTCCTCTGGGCTCCCGCCTCCACAGTCCTCAGGAAGATGAAGTCGAGGGGGTACTGGACTGGGGGCACATTGTTTGCCCCACCTTGCCTGGGGGCTCCCTGTGGCCTGGCTGCAGTGAGAACTGTCCGGGACACACACCCTCTTCTGTGTCTTTGCGCTTGGCCACCCCCACCCCTCACCCCCTGGTTTCCTTTGGGGCAGGGGATGGGGAATTTAATTCCAGGGTGAAGTTTGAAATTTCACATCCCAGCCTGGGGAGAGGGCCCCAAATTCCTCCCCCTCCTGAAAATGTGAAAGGAGCCTTTGTGGGCCTGAATGAGGTGAGCTGCGGCCCCAAGAAGTAACTTTTTCCATGACTCAGCTCTCCCAACGCAGGCACGGAGGTGCGGGACCCTGCAGGGTGGGCTGGAATGCTGCCCAGCCTGGAGCCGCCTGGTTTGGGGTTACAGATGGGTCCCCCAGAGAGCCTGTGACCCATGGGGAATTTGCCAGTTTTGGATAGGCCGCCACCCATACCCCCAGGGCCTGGTTCTGTCTTTTTATATTTATTTTTTTTTAAAGATTTATTTTTATTTATGCATACAAGAGCTGGGGTACAGGCCAGAGGTGTGTGTGGGGGGACGGTGAGAGGATTCACTAGAGACAGAATGGGTAACAGAACAGGCAGATTGACCTAAGTACACTGCTGAGGGGAGCAGCGGGCGAGTCAGGAGAGGTCTGCTACGCCATGTGGGTCTGCTACGCCATGTGGGTTGCTCCTTGGCCAGCCGGGGATTGAACTCATGCTGCAGGGGCTGTGGATTGCTTCATAGTGTGGTGCTTAACCCCTTGCGCCACCAGGGAGGCCCTGGCTCTGTCTTTTTAAAACATGACTACACCCCCAGTGCCAGGCCAGAAACGCAGGTGGGCCTTGTGTTGGGCGCTCCTGCTCACACCGCACTAGAGACATCAGTGACCTCAAGTCTTGGCTTCTTCCCTATGGCGCCGAGAAGTTGGGAAAGTCACACAGGCTCATGTAGCTAAGCGACAGAGGTGGGATTTGAACCCAGGTCAGATGCTCACCAGTCTGTGACCCTCATGGATGCCTCTTGGGCACAGAGGACCACCAGGAAGCTTGTCAAATGCACATTCCTGGAGCCCCAGCCCAGACTTCCAGAAGGAGCATCCTGAGGTGGGGGCGGGGCCAGGAATCCAATGTTCCAGAACCTCCCTGTGCTGCTCCTCCAGACCCTGCAGGAAGACTTCCTTGTCTTGCCACCACCATCCAGATCTTAGCCCCTTTGCACTGAGGGTGTATCTAGGGAGGCCGCCCTCGTGGGGGTGCTGAGCTGGCACCTCTCAGATTCCTAATGCAGAAGAAGGTAGCAGCTGGAGCAGCAGGGGCCGCATTCCCTCACTCATTCTGTGGTTCTGGGGCCCTCCCCGGGGGTCCCCCATGCAGGGGTCACTTGGGTAAGGTGGGATGACCTGAGTGGAGGATCATGTGACAGTGATTCCAGCTTGGAGACTGGTAGCTCTGGTCAAACCCCAACTTTGCTCTGCTCCCATGGGCATCCTGCTTCCTCATCTGTGAAGGAGGGGTGGCAGTGAGGGTCAGAGGCTGCTGTGACCCCGCCTGGGTCAGTGAACGCCAGCTCCAGGGAGTGCGGGGCTGTGGTCCCCATCACCATGGCCTCCTGGTCCTACTGATGGTCCAGTTGGGCCGCAGGCAGAAATGCAGGGCTGGCATTTAGTGGCTCACTTGGACCACCTTGAATGACTCCCTAGACTGGGCCTCTTTGCATCCAGGGTTCCCTTCCCCCCTACCCCTGCCTCTGCACTTTTTCCAGGTGACCCCTCATTTCTTCACCTTGCGTGGTCTCCTTTCCAGGAAGCTCTTCCCCCCTTTGAGAAGGGAGAGGCTGTCCCCTGGGAAGGTGGCACGCTTGGCTTCGGTGTGACAGGAGCAGAGGGAGCCGAGTGGACACAGGGACAGCAGTGAAGAGGTGGGGGGTTGTCCGGGGCGAGGTGACCACAGCCACCAGGGGAGCCACGGTGGACAGGGGAAACTGGTCCCAGCCTGGGACCTCCAGCAGGTCTCTTCCTTCTCAGGCCCCCTTTGTGGAGCAGGATTTTAATGCCAACAACTTGTTTGACCCATGCAAGTGCGTGTGCATGCACACACACACACACACACACACACACACACACACCCTCTGTTTGAAAACTGGTGCTTTGCCCTGAGCAGAACAAGCCAGCAGTGTTGAACGAGGGGGCTGAATTTGGAGAACCTCCTGGTCTAGCAGAAACAAGTGTTCCATGAAGTTCAAGATCAGCAGTTTTCAAGGGTCTCGGTGGAGATGGACGCCTGGGTGGACACAAGCCGTGTCGCTGAGCTTGCTGGGCGCCCTGGGGTGCTTGCCTGGCCAAAAGAAACAGGGGAAATGAGGCTCCAGATGGGATTCAGACGGGGTGAATCCCAGGGAGGGGACGCTTAGGCTGCCCAGACAGACACATTTGAAGACGTCAGAAGCCCTGCCTCTTTCTAACAGGAAGCACTGGCAGGAGGCCCCTTCCCTTCTTGGGGAGGCCTGGCTACCAGGATGGAATAAAGAGCAAACCAGGTGGATGGCTCCTCCGAGTGCAGGCCAACCTCCCCCCCGGTGAGCGAGCCCATGGGATGACGTTCTCGTTCTCGTCCTTGGGGCCGTGACCCAGCAGTTTTTCTTGTCTGTGACTGTTGGCGTCCCAGGCGCTGGCGCAGGGAGGTGGGCTCTGCGGCCGGGGTGAGTGGATGCTGGGCCGGGTCGTGTTTATTCTGGCTGCCAGAGTCGGGTGGAAACGCAGCCGGAGCCAAGGCTGGGCACGTGGCAGGAATACAGATGGGGAGTGGTGGGGGGAGGCGTGCAACCCGAGAAAGCTGGGGCTGAGGCCCCGGGGCACCCGCCATCCTCACCTGCCTCCTGCTGCCTCTGGGAGTGGAGTCTTAGTGGGAGGCTGGCTTGGGGGTTGGCAAGACTGGGTTCCAGTCCCAGCTCGCCCGCTCACGAGCTGGGGAAGTTTGGGCAGCCTATTTGCTTCTCTGAACCCCAGTTTTCTCAGACCTAGAATGGAAGTGTGACCACTGATGGAGAGCAGGTCCTTGGGGTCTGGTGTCCGATGGGGAGGTGATGCACCAAGGGGGTCTCCCTCTGCCTCCTGGCTTCCGATCCCCAAGGAGTGCACAATCTGGGGTGCATGAAAGGGTCGCTGTGTAGGGGACAGGTGAGGGGAGCCTGTGCCACAGGGGTGTAAGATGCCAGTTTGGAACAGGAACCTTTGGGCCTAAGTCCTGCGGCACAATTCACAGTAGTGGGGACATAGAACACACATGTAAATGCGTGATAGGCAAACATGTGATATGTAAATAGATATTATGCAAATTTTGATGTGTAAATAGATGATACACAGAGTGCTATAGATATGCTCTCTTTAAGGAGCACCACTGTGTTCCAGCAAAACTGTATGGACACTGAAATTTGAATTTCATATAACTTTCACAACTCATCAGATATTGTTTGGCTGACTTTCCAATCATTAAAAAATGCACACATTGGGCCTCCCCTGGTGGTGCAGCGGTTGAGCGCTGGGCTGTGAAGCTGCCCGCAGCCTCTGTAGCGCTGGTTCGATCCCTGGCCGCCGGCGAGGGTCCCACATGGCGCGCAGACCTCTCCTGCCGCCCGCTGCTCCCCTCAGCAGTGTACTTCGTCAGTCTGCCTGCTCTGCTCCCCGCTCTGGCTCTGGTGAATTCTCTCACCCTCCCACACTTTTGACTGTACCCAGTGCTTGTATAAATAAATAAATAAATAACTAAATAAATTAAATAAATAAATCTTTAAAAAAAAAAATGCACGCATTGTTCTTAGATTCATAGACTTGGTCTGGGGACAGAAGTTTGCCCGTTTCTGCCCAAGATCATCAAACTTCCAAGCCCTAGGATGTGCATGAAGTATGAGCCCCAGAAAAGCAGAATCTGTTTTCTTTCCCTTTCTGGAAAGGTATTCACAGCCAGTGACCCACATCAATGTCCAATGTGAGATGTGGATGGTCCCTGGGAGGCCGATTTCATAGAGAAGTTACAAACAAAGCGGTCAGACTCAGTTCTGATCAAGGCTGGAAGTCGCCACAACTAGCTGGTTTTTACTGAGCGCTCACCACAGCTGGGCGCTCCTTAAATGAAATGGACAGGAATGTCTACTTAGACCTAACAGAGGAGGACACTGAGACCCCCAAAGGCTGCATGGCCTGCCTTGTCCACAGAATTGCCAACATTTAAGTAATGTTGACAAGTAATGTTAAGAGGTAGGACCCGCAGGGTCTAACTTGGGGTCCTGGTGTCCGTTCCTCATTGCTGCTCAGCGGTGAGCTCCCCAAAGATTGGCCACATGGTTGCCCAGCATCCTGCGGGTTCTCAAAGATGATGGAGACAACCCAGTCCCTGCCTCCAGCTTGTGTGTGGCCATCCCAGTTAGCAACGGGCTCTGGCTGCTTTGGCTCCTTTGTCTCCCAGGGGGTTGGGGTGCACAGAGGCTGCCTGCCAACCCCAGCCCCACTGCTGGAAAACTCTCCTCCGGCAGATCTTTCAATGTCACATTAGATGATGCCCTGAGAGGTTTATAAAAACAAGTGGAAAACAGACAAAATGTCATCTGAACATTGTCCCTTAACTGTAAGAAACCTAACAATAGCTACTATTGTTCTACCTTCCCCGAGGGCTGGTGGGGGATTATCCTGATCAGCCATCATAGTTGGCTGCTGGGGAGATGCAGCGGCCACCCCCGTTCAGCAGATGAGGAAACTGAGGCTCAGAGAAGAGGAGCGACTTGTCCAAATCATCCACTGCAGCCTGAGGTCGATCCCCCGACCAGGGTCTGGAGCAGCAGACCTCTCCTGTCTCCCTGCTGCTCCCCTCTGGCCTGTACCCCAGTTCTTCTACACCAAAAAAAAAAAAAGTTAAAAATTTTCAACTCTCAACAAATAAAAGTTTTCAACTGCAGGTCTGATAAGACTTGCAGAAAAGTAGCAAAAATAGAGCCAAGAATTCGGTGGCAGGTGACTCTGTCACTGGCTTTTCTCTTGAAAGCACATTGTGGACCTGGTTATGGCATGTCCCCAATCCTCCTGCATATGTTTCTTAGAAGCTAGAACTTTCTCTTGTGTAACCTGAGTACTTTCCTGTCAACATCAGGAAAGTACTACCACTATAGAGCCTACACCTACACCTTCACGTTTTGCTAGTTGTGCCATGAAACTTCTAGAACAAAAGACAAGCATTCTTTTTTGGCCTGAGCTGTCACCCTGGGGCCCCGGTGGCATCAAATGTCACCTCTGTCACCTCTCCTCCACTTGTTCCTCTCCCTGCCTTTGCGTTTGTGACCTTGTCATTTGAAGCAGCACAGGTGATGTGGCCTGAACCTTGTCACTTCCCCAGAATTCATGCGGGGGCCTTTGTTTGCAGAGAGGAACTTCAAGGAGGTGACTAAGGTCCAACGAGTTCCTATGGGTAGTTATGGGTAACCCCAATCCAGCAGGGCAGGTGTCCCTTTAAGAGGAAGTTTGGATACAGAGAGACCCAGAGATTTGTGTGCCAGGGGAGAGGCCACGGGGAAGGTGGCCGTCTGCAAACCCAGGAGAGGTCTGGGAGAAGCCAAGCATTGACCTTGGACTTCCAGATTCCAGAACGTGGAGAAAACAAACATAAGTTGTTTAACGCCCCCAGTCCTGGTGTCTGCTATGGCCCCCTGAGCAAAGTGACCTGCGGGTCAGTGCTGCCGCTAAGGGTCCCTCTCCTTGGTCCTGGATCGTTCTTAGTTGTGTTTTCTCTTGCCCTCCAGCAGCTACTTCTAGACGTTTTCTCCACCGACAGTCCAAAGCTCTTGGTGTGTGACATCCTGTGGGTTTCACATGCAGGGTCCATGCTGCAAGGCACAGAGCAGGTATGATTGCTGGATCCCCTCTGCAGACAAAGAAAACTGACCAAGAGAGGTTAAGTCCACGCAGCTGGGAGGCCGAGAGCCAGCCAGAGAATATGGTCAGAGGCGGTAGGTCCAGGAAAGATAAATGAATTTGACCAGCTCCATCGACAAAACAGAACAAGGAAGGTGAATCCGCCACTCCTTGAGTTAAGTACAAACGCTGCAGTGCTGGTCTCTGTTGGTGGGGGACACATATTTGCATTTCAGAGCTCAGATGAGTCAGCACCACTTATTAAGTGTAGGGCTTCTTTTTGGGGTGATGAAAATATTCTAGGATTGATTCGGTGATGATTGCACAACTCTGCAAATACACTCAACACTATTAAATTGTATGCTTTGAATAGGGGAATTGTATGGCGTGTGAATTACCGTTCAATAAGGCTGTGCCCTCTGCTTCCCACAGGCCCGCCAGCCACGCTGGATGTTGGAGGGATAAATTGTCCAGCAAAAGCTGTCACAGACGGGCCTCCCCTGGTGGCGCAGCGGTTGAGCGCTGGGCTGAGAGGCTGCCCCCAACCTCTGCAGCTCCAGTTCGTTTCCCCGCTGCCGGTGAGGGTTCCACAAAAACAAAACAAAACAAAACAAAATATAAAACCAAACAAACAAAAAAAGCTGTCACAGACACTGCCTTTCCCACCGTTGTAATGGGGGATGCACAGAAATCATGGACGACAGGAGCCAGTTCACACCGAGGAGCACCCAAAGGAGAAGGTGGGGTGCAGTGAGTGGCAGGAAAGGTGGGGTTGGGGAAACTTTCCTGGAGGTGAGGAAGCCACACAACACTCGCCCCAACACTTCGATGCCCCAGGCTACACCGCTCAATGTGACCAACCATCTAAAGATGTGGTTTTTGTGTGTTTTAAGCTCCACCTGGGCTGGGCAGGGGCCCTTGCCTAGGGGCTGGCATCCTGGGCACACTCATAGGCGTGCTTTGTGCTTTTGAAAGGCCTGGGTGGCAGCATAGACTGGGAGGGAGCCACCCCGGTTCAGATGCTGCTCCAGTGAGTTGAAAGATATGTCCACGTCCTAAATGCTGGAATTTGACCTGCTTCAGGAAGACGTTCATTGTGCATGTGATTAAGCTAAGACTCCTGACATGAGCCCATACCGGATCTCAGTGAGCTCCAAAGTCAATAACAAGTGTTATTTTAGCAGAAGGGAGACAGAGACGTGGAGAAGGCCACGGGAGACTGAGCAGAGGCCAGAGGGAGGTGGCCACAAGCCAAGGACACCTACAGCTCCAGAAGCCAGAAGAGGCAGGAAGACCCGCCTCTAGAGCATTTGGAGGGAGGTGGCCTGGCTCACACCTTGGTGTTGGGCTTCTGGCTCCAGAACTGGGAGAGAATACATTTCTGTTGTTTTCAACCGAGTTGGGAATTTATTACAACTGCCCAAGGGAGTGAATTCATCTGCCCTTCTGCCGATCAGCTGTCTCACCTGAGCACTTTTCCCACTGCTCCTGAGCCTTGTTTTTCACATCTGTGACATGGGGACACCTGCCGTGCCTAAATCAGGGGATGTGTGGAGACTCGATGAGAGGATGTGGGTGAAGCTCTCAGGGGAATGCCTGGCACCTCTCAGCGGGAGCAAGCATTTAAATTTCTATCACCAAGCAGTTCTGACCGGACCGTTTTCATCTCCCCGCAAGGGTACAAAGGAACTGTAGAAGCCTCAGGCATCTCAGCGGTTTGTCACCCTGGAGAGAGGATCCTGGCTCATCAGATGCTATCTGGGTTGTGTTGCACAAAGCAGCAGTATAGGAACTGGGGGGCAATGACAACTGTATGATGTCATCTTTAATGCCCCACTAAAGGCAAGGCAGGATCTGACATGGGTTAGACCACCAACTCGGGGTCAGACCCTGGGGTTTAGATTCCTGCTCTGCAATTCACTTGCTGTGTGACCTTGGGAAAATTACTTAACCTCTCTGTGCCTCGATGGCCTAACCTGTCACATGGACCTGATGTTCATTGTGGTGCTGCCCTGTAGTATTTGTAAAGCTTAGAGCAATGCTAGAAATTGCTGTGGTTGTTAAATAAACTTAGAGGGTCTTCCTTTGAATTTGAAACCTGACTGAGTTTCTACTTGACGAAAAACTGTGAACTGAACAGTGTTTATATTTGTCGAGTCTCAATAATGCGCACCTGAAACTCCTATAATGTTGTAATACATCGTTACTGCCATGAAAAACAACAACAATAACAAAAACCTGCTTGCCACTACCCTGCCTCCCAAATGAGGCTCACACCCTTGCGCCTGTCTGCTGAGTTCTTGGACTTTTTGGCTAACAAGGGGCTGGCCCTGAGGGCCTCTGCTTCCAGGACTGGGTCAGCTGGACTGACTTACATCCCCTGGGACTCACTGCAGCCCAGAGAGTGGGATGGGGCAGCCTTGAGGACAGGGATTCGCACTGCCCCCCAAGTCTGGGACGCCCTGGTGGGGTTAGTCCTCTACTCTGTCTTTCTCAGCAAGCTGGCATCCCAGAACTTCATCCTGTGCCAGGGGAGGGCTTGGAAACGCCCATGCGGCCCAGAGACACCCCCTATTACAAGGCTGTACTTTCAGGCCCGGCTGGGATAGAGGGGCGGGGCAGTCACTGGGAGGGACTGTCCACTGCCGCAGGCTGCCTTACCTGTGATCTGGGAGAGATCATGCAGCACGGGATGGAATTCGAAGCCAGCACCTTGTGTGTGGCAGCCCCAGGAAACTCTGGGGGTGTCTGGAGAAGACAGCATGAGGCTCTACCCCCATCAGACCCCATTTGGCTGTGGGTAAGAGACACCAATTTGTTACTTAGAACCCCTCTGGAGTCCATGCTTTGGAACCATGGTACAAAGCCCCACACTCATCACCAATGATCCAGGAGCCTCCTGAATGTTCCAGAAAGGCACCTGCCCCTCAGTGCAGCTGTGTGCAGCCAGCTTCAGAGAACACCTCTGTGCAGGCTGCTGACCTCGCAGGGTGGCTAAGCCACCATCTGTCTGTCCATGCATCTGTTTATCCAACAGGGAGTAGACAGACAGATGGACCCAAGTAATACGTCCACTTCCTGGCTGTGCAGATGTGGGCACGTGAGTCAGACAAGCTTGGCTTTGGTGTCCTCAACCGCGGAGCGAGGCTGGCCTTTTGGGGTGATTTTGGGCATTTAACACATTCGCGTGGGGAGGCCTAACGCTGTGCGCTGCCCCCCTCGGCACCACAGCAGCGTCAGCCCTTGTCCGGGGCTCTCCTTGTTGCTATGGTTACTGTTATTGCATCGCCATGGGAGCTGCGTGACATTAACACAGCTTCACACACTTGGCAGGAACGTCTTCACCCTTGGCAGTGATCTTGGGAAGGTGATGCAATCTCTCAGGGTCCCTTTCATATTGGTGTTTTCGGCTCACATGGCCCCAGGCAGGGCTGGTGCTTGGCAGGCCTCCGAAATGGCAACTATTATTAGTCGCGCTATTGCCTTGAGCACCTCCAGCCCCGGCCACAAGCAGCCCCACTTGGTGCCAAGCAGCGCATGTTTCCTTATCTCCGCTGGCTTTGGAAACTTTAAGAGCACACTGAATACTCCCACTGACGTCCTCCCAGCTCCCTGAGGACTGAAATCCTCTCCAGGAGCAACCCGTGGTCTCAGTGAAGCCACATCTGGGGAAGACTTCACGGGAAGACAATGGGGTGGGAGTTAAAACCCCCAGACTCTGAGGTCCCCATGTCCTGTGTGTCTCCCAGAGACTCTATGCAGGAGGAGGAGGAAGATGATTAAGCTCGTGGACTCAGGAGGAACTTCTTGGCTCAGATCCCTGTTCCAGGGCTTCTTGGTGGATGGCTTCTCCTCTCTGAGCCTCAGTTTCCTCATCTGCCAAAGGTGGGTAGTGGGCCTCTACAGAGTAAAGGGGCTAATGTTCACACAGCGCTCAGCCGCCATTATATTTTCCAGGTGCCTCAACTCCTTCCCTTCTCCAGGAGGCAACACAGGAGGGGCTTGTGTCCTGGTTGTGGCTGAGCAACGCATCAAGAGTCTCTGTTTGCTCATGTATCCCCACAACCCCAAATGCTGTTTGGCATGGAGTAGGCGCTCAATAAGAATTTGCTGAGCGAATAAATAAAATCGCATTTCCAACCACCCTTCTTTATCATTGGACACCTGGCATGTGTCCTGTTTCTGTTGTCAGTCACACCGTGCGGTGTCATTCTTCAAGCAGAAGAGCCTCCACCATTCAGCACCCCAGTCCCACCGCACCCTGTCACTCCCACCCATACTGGGGTCATAGGCACTGGCTCCTTTCTATTACTCTTGCACTGTGCTTTTTCTTAAAGTAGAGATAACTGCTCTGTGCCCATACCTGCAGCAAAAATGCAAAAATACAAGGACAGAGTTGCCCATTTCAAGAAAAGTATCACAAATGAGTTTCTCAGAAAAGGCGATGAGTGTCTGGTGTTTCCTGTGCATGGTGTGCTTGTCTTGCTCCCACTGGGCCCAGCTGGTTGGTGCATTGTCTCTCCTTACCTGCAGGATTTGAGTGAGTGCCCTACGCTTTGCTGAGTGGTGCCCCTGCTCACCACATCATGTCCAGCCAGTCCCCAGCTGCTTAGAGAAACTCCCCAAGTCTGCTGGCAGTTCTGCCATGGGATGCTGAGACAGGAAATCAGCGAGATGGTTGCAGATGGCTCCAAGTCCACAACTTCCTTCCGTTTGATGCAAAATACAAAATACAGGAAAACAGGGTAAGAGGGACTGAGCCAGGAGAGGACTTTGTCATCTGGGCTGGAGTGAATGTCTCATCAGGTACCACCTGAGTATGGTACCAGCTTCTTAACTCCAAGAACGTATTGTGTTCATTTTGTTTTCTTCACTAATATTTGAAAATTTGAACTGTAAATTGTTCCCCAAGGTAGTCTTTTCTTTGTTGCTAGTATAGAGATTATTTTCTGTTATACATTCTAATTTTTTTATAAATTGTCACTAATTCCTCTATATCATTTTTGTACTCTGCTAACTCACTGAATTATTTTGTCATTTTCCAGTTGATTCTCTTGGATTTTCTAGATACACATTTATATCACCTGCAAAATGATCATTTTTATCTCCTTCATTCCAGTGTTCCTATTTCTTATTTTTAAATTCTTTTAAAATTGCCTAGGATAATACTTTCAATGCAATATTAAGTAGTAGGGTGGTAATGGACCTCCCTGTCTTGTTCTTAATTTTGTAGCAAATACTTCTAGTATTTCCCTGCCCCTCCCCTTTAAGAAAGCATTCACTGACTTCTTTTTACTGACTGCTTTAATGGAAAATGCGTGTTGAGTTCTATTAAATGCCATTCATGAGTTTTCTCTTCAGATCTGTTAATATGATGAATTCTATTAATATATTTCCTAATGCTGAATAATCCTTGTATATCTGAAATAAATCCCTTTTGGTCATGATAAATAATTATTGCAATGTGGTTTTAGATTCTATTTGGTAATAATTTGCTTGGAATTTTCAAAGAAAACATTTACTAGTAGGTCAAGTCTGTCATTTTCTTTCGGTCAGGATTTGTTAACAATGTTATTCTTGCTTCAACAAGTAATTTGGAATGTTTGCAAAGATGCAGAACAAATGGGACTCTCCCATGTTGATGTACAGGCAACATGGTAAAACCACTTTGGAGAAAAGATTATTCAGTTCCTTATAAAAACCAAGCATATACCTACCCCATGATGCAGCAATTCCAGTCTTAGGCATCTACCCAAGGTATGTACAAACATATGTTTATAAAATGACTTGTGATCAGAATGTTCACAGCAACTTTACTGAGAATAGTTAAAATCTGGAAACAGCTAATAGGAGAATGGATACATAAACTTGCATATTCTTGCCATGGAATACTATGCAGCAAGAAAAAAGGAATAACCTACTGATACAGAGAACAACAGGAATCAGTCTTCAAGATATTACTCCCAAAGAAGCCTTACACAGAAGAACACAAATTGTATGTTCCCTATTATATGAAGTTCTGAAATAGGCAAAACTAATAAGAATAGGCAAAAAAAAAAATATCAGAACCTCTGGGTGGCATGGAAGAGAAGAGTGACTCAGAAGGAACATGAGAAAACTTTCTGGAATGATAAGTTAAATATAGTATGGTAAATTCTTTCAATTTTTGTGTTGCTTGAAATTTTTCATAATAAAATATTGGAGAAGAAAAAGTAATTGGGGATTTCTGCTTCAACCATAACAGAGTACTTTGTAATGGAATTGCCATCTCAGGAAAGGCAAGTCTGGCCAACTCAGGGCTTGTAGTCACTAATCTATTTTCTATCTCCGTGGAGTTGTCTGATGTGCATATTTTATATGAATGGAATCATATGTGTTTTGCATCTTGCGTACTATTTTTAAGGTTCATGGGTATTGGAGCATGTGTTCCTTTTTTGTTGCTGAATAATATTCCAGGGATAAATATGCCACATTTGTTTCTTCATCAGTTGGCAAGCATTTGGATTGTTTCCATTTTTTTGAAGGCTGGAACCGTCTTCTCTTCCTCAGGGGCCGGGGTCTTCTTTCTGGGGGGGGCTCCCGTCCTGGTCTCTCAGGGTTGGGGTCATCTCTCCCTTGTCTCCGGGGCTCCCTCACCTGCCCCTGCCCCTCGCTTATATCCGCTTTCTCGTGCCCCACCCACAAGTCTGATTGGACCATTGAGCACCAATCAGCTCATAGCTCGCACCCGATTGGTCCATTACAAAATGGCAGTTGCTGGGCTCTGACGAGCAGCGCTCGCGGAGCAGCAGGTGGATGGACCGGTGCTCCTGCCGCTCCCGCCGGGCGGCTCCAGGGAAGGCTGTGCCTTTTTGTTTCCGCCTCAATATCCGTGAGTTCCAGGCTCTCCACAGCCTTGTCAACGCTCGTTTTTATTTGTTGTTTTAATTACAGAGATCCTCTTGGGTGTGAAGTGGTAGCTCATTGTAGTGTTGGTTTTATGTTTCCTAACAGTTAATACTGTTGAATGTTTTCCGTACACTATGGGCCGTTTGTCGGTCTGCTCTGGATTTATCCAGATCATTGTCCCATTTGGTTCCTTACATTTTATTATTCAGTTGTGAGTTCTTTATACATTTGGGGTATAAACCTCTTCTCATGTATATGATTTGTAAATATTTTTGACCATTCTGTGGGTTTTCTTTTCATTTTCTCCTTTACAAGCATTGGTTTCCTTTACAAACATTTAAATTTTGCTGAAATCTAATTTATCTACTTTTCTCTTTGGTATTCTGTACTTTTGACGCTGTGCTCAAGAAGTCACGGTCCAGTCCAAGTCCACAAAGACTTGTGAACTCCTTTCTCTTCTTAAAGATTTATAGTTTTAACCCTCGCAGCCAGGTCTATGATCTGTTTGGAATTAATATTTGCCTGTGATGTAGGGTAAGGACATGTGGATGCGAAAGGAAGAAACAAAACTTTATCTATTTACAGATGAAATGATCTTACAAATCCACTTAAACTATGAGAGCTAATAAACAAATTCAGTAAGGTTGCATGGTTCAAGTCATTCTATCCCAGTGTCTGGCTGTCCTGGGATCATTTCTGGGAGAATGATTATTCTCTTCCATTGAATTATTTTGTCATCCTTGTTAAAAGCCAATTGACCATGAATGTGAGGGCTTACTTCTGGGCTCTCAATTCTATTCCATTGATTCATATGTCTATCCTCATTATACCAGCACCCCACAGACTTGCTTACCATCCTTTTTTTCCTTTGTTTTTCAAGAGTGCTTTTGGTAGGCTGGATACCTTAGGATACCTTTTGTATTCTACAGTTCCTTAGGATCAGCAGGTCAATTTCTGCCAAAAAAGATGAACAGCTGGAATTCTGATAGATATTTTATTCCATCTGTAGAGCAATTTGATAGATATAGCTATCGCAACAATATTATCTTTCTGGGATTACATAAGGAATACCATTACTTTCATTTAGGTCTTTAATGTTTTTCAAAAGTGTTTTGAAATTTTCAGAGTACATGTTTTGGAATCTTGTTAAATGTATTCTTTTTTAAATTTTTTAAAAAAGATTTATTTGTTTATGCATACAAGAACAGGGGTACAGGTCAGGGGTGTGGGGAGAGGGTGAGAGGATTCACCAGAGACAGAGTGGGGAACAGAACAGGCAGATCTACTGAAATACACTGCTGAGGGGAGTAGCGGGCAAGTTAGGAGAGGTCTGCTGCACCAGGTGGGTGGCTCGCTGGCAGGGGGATCGATCTTGTGCTGCAGTGGCTGTGAATAGCCTCATAGGTTGCATCTTAACCCCTTGCACCACAAGGGAGGCCCATTAAATGTATTCTTTTGGATACTATTGTAAGTGGGATTGTGGGCTTTTTAAAATTTAATTTTTCAGATTGTTCATTGCTAGAGTATAGAGATACAGCTCATATTTTGTACATTTATCTTGTACCATGCAACCTTACTGAATGTGTTGTTAGCTCTAATAGAGATGGTATAGAGACTTTGTCTTATGGCGAGGCTGGAATCAATGTTTCTGGCCTTAAAGATGGAAGAAGGGACCATGAGCTAGATGCTGGAGAAGGTGAGGAGACATATTCTGCTCTACAGCATCTAAAAGGAAAGCAGTGCTACTGACACTTTGGTCTTAGCCCAGTGAGATCCAGTTTGGACTTCTGACCTCCAGAACTGTAACTAAACTTATATTAAGCAACTCAACTTGTGATACTTTTTTATAGCAGCAATAGGAAACTAATATCATCATTAAGTATATGACTGGTGATGCTCAGAAATTTACTGATGAACTGAATATCATAATGCAAACTTATCAAGCATTTTTTCTAACCTTTAATTAATCCTAAATTTGTTGGTGAGGGTCGAGTGAAATATTGGTGATGTCTACCAAATGGGACAATTCTAAAAAGGATTTAGATCAATAACTCCCTAATTTTGGCAAGGGACCAAGAAACTGGTAGCTAGATTTCCCAGCCATTTCTATGGTTTTATCTAAACCTACTGATTGGCATAAAATTCACATTATACAAAAGCTTGATGAAACTGTTTGTGATGGTTACAATCGTCTTCAATATTTTAAAGAAAATTCAGGTTTATCCTTTGATACTAGAAGGCTGGCCTTCTAGTCCAAGCTTCTTAATGGACTAAGCTGAGACTTCTCTTTTCTAGTAAAGACATAAAGGATAGAATGGGAGACTGTCTACTCCAGATTGAGTTAATCTAACAAGTGGGTTTACTCCTACTCTAGATGAGCCAACTAAATGGAAGATTGCAAAAACCTTTCATTTTCAGCTGCACCAAAGGAAGGTCCTTACACAGAAGCAAAGTTTAATTTTTGTTGTTATTACCAAGGGCAGGACACTGGAAGGCAGGTTGCTGTAAACTTAAGAATTTTAAATAAGTGCATCCTTCTAATCAAACCTTCCAAAGATCTTCTAATTCCAAATGACAGGTCTTCCCAGAAATAGAAAGTTTCCCCAACCCTCCCTCTTAATTGCCTAAGAGAAATAAATGTCCAGATTAGGACTAAATCTCTGTCCTTATTGACAGTGGGGGAATAGCTAATATATTTAATCTTAATACTGTAACATAGCACCTACTACATTAAAAGAGCTGTGACTCTTTTAATACAGCTTAACAATGGTAAGGTTTGCCAGTAGAGGGTGCTGGAGGAATATTGAAAAACAATGGTGATGCTTCCTGGTTCTGATATGTTCCTAAGGTGTGCTTGAGCACTGGCCCCAGCAGTGGTTTCTCCAGCACCTGACCCTGCAGGGAATGACTTCTCCATTGCCAGGGTGCTGCAGGGCAGTGCCCCTCACACCCTGTTGCCAGTAACTTCCTTAGCACTATTCAGATGGTTTTGTAGCAGAGTGCAAAACTGCCACCTTCCGGTCAGTGGCTTCCTTGGCATTCCTTCCAGTTAGCTATGGTACCTTCTCAAATAAAGTTGGGATCTTGCCCTAGGACTAGGCTGCTGTAATATCTATGACTCCTGGTTACCATCTCCTGGTAACTCAATTTATAATTATTTTGCTTTACTCAAATGTGTCTTATTCCATTTCTTTCATTTTTCTATAAATAGTAGCATTTCATCTTTCTTCACGGCTGAATAGTATTCCATTGTGTGGATATACCAGGTCTTTTTCATTCAATCCTTTATAGCCCTTAGGAAACGTTTCTATCTTAGCTATTATAAATAATGTGGCAATAAACATCCTTGCCTTGCTTCTGATCTTAAAGGGAAAGCTTTCAGTTTTTTACTGTTAAGTAAAAGATTATTTGTAGTCTTGTGAGGCATGGCCTTTAGTAGGTTGAGGTAGGGTCTTTCTAGTCCCATCTTGTTAAGAATACTTTGTGCTGTATCTTGTCAATTGCTTTCTCTTTTCTTTTGTTGATGTCATGTAACACTTGAGTTGATCTGTGTGTGTTAAACCATCCTTGCATCCCTGGAATAAACCCCACTTGTTTCTATGACCCTTGTATTGTTGAATTTGATTTTTTAGTATTTTTGTTGAGAGTATTCACATCTATATTTATCATAGATATTGGCCTAGAATTTTCTTTTCTTTTGTAATATTCTCATCTGGCTTCTGAACCCCTCTGGACCTTGGGCTCCTTTTCAGCTTTTTGATTCTCTGACTTTGATAAAACCTAAGCTGGCACTGATTTCATTTTTCTCTTTACTTTCTGGCTGTTTGAAGTGTTTTTTGGGGGCACTGGTTGCATGTCTGTGTCCCCCCCTTTGCTCTATTCAGGGGACCTACTACATGCTGGGCACGGGGAGGAAAACCTGGAAACGAGTGGCAGGAGGCGCTGAGGCTTTGCGCCAGTCTTGAGACAAGAGTCAGAAAACCTTCCATCCTCAGGACAACCTGAGAAAGATGATGAAAAAACGGGCCATTTCCCAGTGTTTAACAACGAACACGCAACCCCCTGAGCCAAGACAGCGCTGTGTGGAGTCCTCACTGTCCTCAGGATGCGAGTGTGGAGTGGAATTACCCACCATTCAACTGAGAAGTGTGGAGCCAGGCCTTGCCTGAGGATCCGGGAAGACAGTGATGTGGGACAAGGACTAAGCCTGTCACGGAGCAGGCAGACAACCGGTGAGACACAGCAGCCACGGGGCAGACAGCACGAGGCAGGGTGCGAGGGAGGGGAAACCAGGCAGGGATGCAGTGTCTGCCCTGGGAGGGCTCCTGGTGATGGAGGAAGGCCTTGGGAGAGGGGCACTTTAAGCCATTGCTGAAGCCTGGGAGCGGGGAGTGGTCCGGAGATCATGCCTGCTTGTGGATGCGAGGAGGCCAGTGTGGCCAGGCCGGGTGGGCAGGGAGAGGGCAGGGATGACTCAGAGAATGCAGGCTGGCAGTCATGTAGGAGACCCGAGGATGTTCTAAGGTCTTCGGTGTGTCCTTGAATAAGATGGGAAGCCACATGGAGGGTCCCGGGTTCTCATTCCCCAACTCGACTTGACTCCCCTGACTCCCCGACGTTGCCTTTGAGCCGATGACCCTGTCTGCAGAGTAACTGACAGCTGGCGAGATCAGCCCCCACCTGGTCACAGCGCAGATATGTAAGCAGAGAGTGCCTCAGGCTCCTGCCACACCTTTTTCATCCTAGGACTCAAAAGCTACCCTCAGCATGGGCTTACCTGGGTGTGGTGTCCTTGAGCCTTTGTCACGTTTGGAGAGGGTCTTGCACACTTCCTTTTGGGCACACGTGGAAAGAATAATTGAGAATACTCAATTATTGATGAAGGTGCTGTGGTGAATATGATGAAGGCGCTGAGATGAAAGGTGTAATTGATTTAGCTGATGCCACATGGCTGTCGGCAGAAGTGGGAGTTGAATCCAAGTCTTTCCAGCTGCAAAGTCTTTGCTACCAGGGCCCTAAATTGAAGGCAAGTTCAGAGTTAACCATTGGGTGTGCCCCGGAGACAGAGGCCTGCAGGAGAGAGGGCCTAGAGCTTGCGAAAGCCAGCCTCTGGCTCTGGGAAGAGAAACTAGTAGCCTCCCACAAACGTTTGTTTAAATATAGAACTAAATAAACAAAATGGCACCAGGAAGATTTGGAAAGGTGGTCCTGGATGGTTAGAAATGAGTTCAGGAGAGATATTAGCATTAAGACTCACCGGGAAGAGGGTGTTTGTAGAGAGGTCAAGGGAAAATGCTGCCTGATAAGAAGGAATCACTCCCTCCCTTTCTTGTTCACATCCACCTTTCCAGGGCTCAGCGGGGAGCTCTGATAATCGCCGCTGCAGGGCACAGCCAACTCAGAGCATGTCCAAATGGCGGCTTGTGGAGCAACAAGTGTGGGCAGAGCCAGTGACCGAGAAGATCACTCAGCAGGACAGCAATCAAGCGGCCTCTCTCTCTCCTCCCTGCTTTGAAATGGGGACATAATTTTGAGAATCTGGGCATTTATTCCATGCCCAGATCAGTCAGTGTTGTACATGACAGACTCAGAGCAAACTGGTAACTGACGTGTGTTTGGGGACCATACCCGTGAGGCTGTTCCAGTCCTGGGGGTGCCCCCAACCCCCACGAGGCATCACCTTCTACCACTGAGGGAGCCTCTGGTAGGTGCTTCTCTTCCCCAGCTTTGTAAAGGAAGAGACTCATTCGCTGGCCACACTCAACAAATATTGATCAGATGGCTGAGCCAAAGAATGAATGAGTGGCATCTTCTCCCTCGAATGTGCTCTTGGCTGTCCACTGAGTTCATTCCTCTAGTGCCTTAATGGAATTAGGCCTTCTAGAATTCCTTATCTGCAGTTCCAGGACCCAGACAGCTGAGCCGATGGGCTGAGACTCTTATCACTTGTTGGAGGAATGACTTGCGCTCCTCAGGTGTAAACTGGGATAAGGATACTTATTGCCTTTATTTGCTTGTAGGCCTGCCAGAACAGGGAGAAATGAATTTCTTCCAGTCCTGGAGGCTGGGAAGTCCAAGATCAAAGTGCTGGCAGATTCTGTGTCTGGTGAGGGTCAGTGTCCTGGTCCCTGGTGGCCATCTTTTTGCTATGTCCTCACATGGTGCCCTGGGGAGTCACTGGGCACTAACCCCACGGACTTGGACCCCATCCTCATGCCCTAATCACCTGCCAAAGAAACTATCTCCAAGTGCCATCCTGTTGGGGATCAGGTTTCAACATGGGAATGTGGGGGTTCACAATCACTCAGCCCAGAGCATTATCATGGTATCTACTTCCTGTCGGGAAACTGAGGGACACACTTCTGATGAAGCTGATAATCAGAGAACGTGGCTCAGGGGTGGGAGCAGGTGTGCCGCCTGATGATAAGCACCCCATCCCAGACAGCACTAACACTCACACGCCTCTCTCTGGGGGTACCTGACCAGCCCCGGCCAGAAAGCCCCTTCCCCGCAGGCAGGCAGAGTCCACAGCGGGCTGAGCTTGCCCAGTTCCTTCTCCCAAGATCTCCATTTGGAAAAGCTGCTTCTCTTCCCAAGGGAGGAATGGGTGTGGAAGTAGAGAGAGAGGAGTGTTCCACACCTAGGGGAGAGGGGCACCCCAATTCCAAGGGGTAGGAGCACCCTAGTTACTGCCTGGCTTTTACCTTTGTGCAGTAGAATTCAAAGCGAAAAGCATCATGACAAAAGATAATGTGGTAAAGAGAAGTTGCTGCTACAGATTGAATAAGATCCCCTTCCCGGTTCACGAGTTGATCCCATCCCCAATATCTCAGAGTGTGACCTTATTTGGAAATAGTGTTGTGCAGATGTCATTAGTTAAAATGCAGTCATTAGCGTGAACCCTAATCCCACGTGGCTGGTGTCCCCGCGAATGGGAAATTTGGACACGGACATGCACAGAGGACCATGTGAGGACACATGGCTGAGCCAGTCACCTTCCCTAGGTCACAGAGATGGGGCAGGAATGGACCCTCCCTCACAGCCCTGCAAAGGAACAAACCCTGCCCTCACCTTGATCCTGGACTTCCAGCCTCCTGAACCCAGAGACAGTGCAGATATGTAAGCAGAGAGTGCCTCAGGCTCCTGCCACACCTTTTTCATCCTAGGACTCAAAAGCTACCCTCAGCATGGGCTTACCTGGCGTAGTGTCCTTGAGCCTCTGTCACATTTGGATTGCTTATGAGGTCATAGTTGCTTATGAGGTCACCCAACTGGTGCCATTGTGTTAAGGCAGCCCCAGCAACCTGGTGCAGACAACTTTCACAACAAGTGTGAAACTGTGCCACCGAGCATTGCGACAAAATCTGCAAAGGGAAGCAGCTAAAAATTTCTTAATGAACACGAAGGAGCCCTGTGTAGCCCAGAGGAACATAGAGCAGGGATTACCTGCCATGGAACGGTGGGCCCGGCCCGGGCAGGGGTGGCTGGGTGGCCGGGCTCCAGGGACTGAATTCGAGCTCACACTAGCATGATTTCCTGTGTCAGATGCTGGCACTCAGCGCTCTCCCCACCCTCCTGAGCTCTTACTTGTGTCCTGGGCCCAGATGCCAGATACTGGCATTTCCCAGACTCTTGCGGGCAATGTTCCTGTTATGACTCTCCTGAGGAAAACCTTCCTGTAAGATCTGGAATGCAGGCTAGAAGCAGGTGCCACTCCTCTCAGCAGCAGCTCACAGTGGGCATGTGAGCATCAGCAGGTCGAAGAAGTATGCTCTTCTGGTGGTCCCAGGTGTCCCGTGGGGAACCTTCCAGGTGGGAAGGTTGACAGCAGCTCCTGCTTATGGAAAGCCAGCTCCTCCCCTGACCTTTCCTTCCTTGACCCAGCCAAGTAGCTCAAGTGTCCTGTTCCCTACATTCAATCTCCTCCTACTTAGGGGAAAAGATTGTGTGGCTGGAAAGTCAGGAGTCAGCCAACACAGTTCACATTTTCACCTTCAGCGGCTGGAAGGGCTGCGTTTCCCAGGCTCCCTGGCATGTCAGGGAAGCCGCAGGTAGGTGTTCTGGCTCTGAAATTCTCTGGCAGGCAAGAAGTTCTCTTATGTGGCTTCCCTTTCCTGGCGGATACAGAGAGTGCAATGGGGGCCAGTGAGAGCCAGGGGGAAGGTGATGTCAGGTGGAGCAACATGGACCCCACAATCACCAATGGTGGGGCCTTCACCACAGGCCCCAGTATCCATGATTTGAGGGGGAAATTGCCTCTATGCAAGTCACTTGTCACAGCATTAGCACTGTTTACCCTAGTTGATGAGTCCAAGAAATCAGAAATGCTTTTGTATTTATAAATAACTCATGTAGTCTGTCCCAACCATCTCCTTATGCCTTTTTTTTCTTTTTTCAAATGATTTCATGGACAATAAGGGAGAAAATACTGACCTCAGTGCCATGTCGATTCTATACCCACATCTGTATTATCTGGTCATGCAAAGGTATAATGCTTATAAATGTCAGTGGTAACTGATTTTCCAATCCCTGTCATAGAAAATGATGCATTTTTCACTTCTTGGAAATTTGGATATTTACATTTTGATGGAGAAATCTTCCATTTCAAAATCACTGCCATAAGTTGCAGGTACTGCGTAAAAGGATCTTTCAAGACCTATTTATCTCACTTTTTGATGAAAAGGGCAGAGACTACTGCCTCTGTTGAATCTTCTCAACCCCCACACCTCTGGCCTGTACCCCAGTTCTTGTATGCATAAATAAATAAATCTTAAAAAAAAAGAAAAAGGGCAGATTCTGCTCATGAAGTTAAGCTTCATTCAATAGGCTAAGAACCAGTCCTGACCTACATTCTAGGGATAAAGCAGAAACAAAGCAAAATCCCTGTCCTCACAAAGTTTACATTCTGCAGGCAATAAGGAGCCAGTGTAGAATGAAGTCTCTCAACTGATAAGGGCCACAAGGTTACAAAAGCCTGGGAGACATGACGTTCAAACAGAGGTGTGCAGTAGGGGAGGGTTCCGCCTACTGACCTCTGTGGAAGAAGGCTGCATAGAGAACAGCAAGTGCAAAGGTCCTGGCGCCTCCTGGGCAGGCAAGTGTGAAACAGCAGGTGTGGTCACAGAACAACAAAGGGCTGAGCGATGAGGTCAGGGTGCAGGTGGAGGGAAAGGTGTTTGTGCTGTCCCTGGGGACTCGCCCCAGGATATTTTGAGGATCAGAGCAATGGTGTGAACTGGGACTCTGGAGTTCTCATTTCCATCTGGGTCAGATTGCAGAAACACTTTCCCTTCCACACTGATCCTCTCCTAGAACCGGGGCCTGACCTGAGTCTGTGACTCACGGGGCAGGGCTGGGCTTGTGCGAGACGGGGAGGTGTGGAGGGCAGGCAGTGATGTATAAGTGGACCGGTCTGCCGGCCCCAACTCATGTCCTGAGTGGACTGCCCAGGACACAGCCTCCTCCCAGCCTCCTCCCGGCCTCCTCTGCGGTGGAACAGCATGTTGCTGATCCTTCTGTTCCTGTTCTTCCTGCTGGCGGGCATGCTCCTGGCCATGGTCTCGGTGTGGGTTTTCTGCACCGAGTTCCTCACCGTGGACGTCCCTGCGGGCATCAACCGCCCCATAAGATTGCGGCTCCTCCATTGTGTCTTTCAGCTGTTGCTGATGTGGGTGAGTTTTGCTTACTCTTTGTGCTGCTCTGGAGGCGTAAGAAGGGAGGTGGGAAAACACACCCCAGCAGCTTCGAGTCCAATGAACACAATCATCACATGACTGGTGGAGGAGAGGACAGCGCATTCCCAAACCTGAACAATCCCCCCGAGGGGATAATCATCCCTATCCTCTTGCTGGTGGTGTCAGGTGGGTCTGAGCCGACAGCCTCGAGATCCAGAGGATTCACTTTCTCAGTCCACAGAAAAAGGAGAGAAGCCCTCTCTCCCTGCTGCCCCGCTCTGGCCTCATTTACTCCCCGCACAGACTCGCTGCTCTGCGAAGCTGCAAAGATGGGGTGGCTTGTGCTGAATCTGGGGCTCCTGTTCCTGCCTACCTGCCAGCTAGCACCACCAATGGCAAACTAGACACAGAGAGCCCCATCAGGACAGGTGAATACACGTGTGTCTAGACGCACACGTCTAGGGCCTTTGAGAGACAGACTTTCCCTGTCAGAATCGGACCTGCTTGCCATCCGGTGTGTGCCATTTCAGAACACACGTGTGAACAGTGATGCCTGAGAGCCTGTGGCAGGGGCAGGGAAGGACAGAAACTGTATACAGGAAATCTGGGTCTTAATGAACTGTTGCCGGCACCTGTACTCTCAGATACCCCGATGGAGGAGAGCTGGGGCCAAAGGTATCTCACGTCCAGGCTCAGCTTTCACAGGATGCGAAGTTCCACCAAGGGTCCCCCTGGCCTCGACGCTCAGCCTGCACAGTCCAGTTTCCCAAATGCAGTCGTTGGGTTTCTTCTACTGCAAAACAGGGAGCCGTAGGAGTCTGGCATCAGGGCACAGCCCCCTGGGGTGTGTTCCCTCGTGCAGAGACGTTGCTCCCGAAACCCCTTGTTGCAGCTGATTGATCTGTCCCACAAAGGTGTCTTTGCAACGACCGCGTGTCCTCGGGTGGACACCGCTCTGGGGATGGTGATGGTGGGAGAAGCAGACCAGGCAGACGGTGCTGGGAGCGTGGAGGCTCACGCGGTGGGTGGGCATGGCAAGGAGCAAAATGCTGCACAGATTGCCGGGCTGTGTGGAAAGGGAAGCAGGCCACATGCACTAGGGGGATCCCTGAGCCCCCATGAGACAGGATGCAAGAGAGCTAAGAATTCACATGGGGTCTAAATGGCTCTATCTCCATAACCCTCTACTGGACATTCTTCTCGTGACGAGCGGCAGAGACCACAGGCTGGCGGCGCAGCTTCCAAGGTCACCGAGAGGCACAAAGGCGCGTTAGGAGCGGTTCCGGCCATTTGCACTGTGGTGGAAAAACCGCTCAGGCTCCTGTCCCTTGGAGGGTGACAGTGCAGAGGCGCTGCCTCTTGGAGTCATGGGCCAGTCGGGACCACACGCGTTGTTTCATTACAGCACAATTTACTCTGATATCGAGAGTGAGATACAACTGCCTTCCTTTGTCATCCCACATATTTCATTTTCTGTTCTCCAGCCATGCACGACGAGGTCACCAGGGTCACTGAAGCCCTAAGTGACCTTGGCACAGAAAAGGGGGAGAGGCCATGGCGAAGAGCCAGCCCTGGGGAGAACCCACACTTTTGCTCACTTTCTTCTGTTATTATGGAAACAAGGGTTCAGGGGGAACTGAGGGAGACAGAACTGAGGCTCCTGCAGCGCCAGCAACACTGAAGGTCCTCGGTGCCCCCGCTGCCCCCTCTGCCCCAATCCTTACCGGGAAAATCCGAGAATCACACTATTTGATCCAAAAATACATCAGTAGGTCTCCCTAAAAGACAAGACCCCTCCCTCTGAAAAGCATGACCACAGCGCAGCAATTCCATCTTGGAGATGGCTTCGTTGTCCCAATCCACTTTGGCCGCGGTGGGGTGGGGGCTCTAGGGGGGTCTCCCTGCAGGAGAGGACCTGTCCGGGCCAAGGTGGAGCGGGAGCTCCTGGGGGTGCTCCAGGTAGGTGTCTGAAGCTGGGTTTAGGGCTTGGGAAAAGGCATCTGGGGGAGGGGTAGGAGAGGGCTGGTGGGGTGGGCAGCTTGGGCAGGGTGGGGTGGCCTTGCTGCAGTGCTGTGGAGACTCCAGACCCAGTGGCTCTGGGGCCACCCCTTTCTGGAGGAGACAGGTGAGGCCTCAGACAGCAGCAAGGACCCACTGAAGCCCCCACCCCCCACATTTCCTCTTCTCTCACCCCAGGGCACTGTTTTAGAGAAGCTGAGGATCTGCTCTATGCCCCAGTTTTTCCGTTTCATGCACGATCTGCCCCCGCTCAAGAACGACCCTGAGGTCGTGGTCACGGACCTCTGCTTCGGGACCATCCCGGTGAAGCTGTACCAGCCCAAGGCGACCTCCTGCTCCAGCAGGCCGGGCATCGTGTTCTACCACGGAGGCGGGGGCCTCATAGGGAGCCTGAGTAAGCGCCTGTCCCCAACCAGCCCCCAGGGCACCTGGCTCAGCAGATGGAGCCCAGCATGAGGTGCCCCTCTAGCTCCTGGGGCTTTGTCAGCACCTGGGACTTCAAGCAGGTTCCCCATTGAATGAGCAAAGACATCAAAGATATGGGATGTGAGCTCTTTCTGGAAGTGATGAGCGACACACATGTGCATGTATATGGAACACGCTGCTCATGCAGGGAATACATCGTGTGCATGGACTATGTGAGTGTCTGTGCATCTGTCTGGACACACGAAATTCACATAGCACAACACCTACCATTTAAAAGCGTACAGTTGAGGGACACCCCACATTCACCAGGCTGTGACCACCACCTCTACTTAGCTGGAAAGGACTTTTATTTCTTTTTTTTTTAAGATTTATTTCTTTATGACTACAAGAACTGGGGTACAGGGCAGAGGTGCAGCGGAGGGTGAGAGCATTCACCAGAGACAGAGCGAGGAGCAGAAGTGGTGGATCTACTGAAATACACTGCTGAGGGGAGCAGCGGGGAGACAGGAGGGGTCTGCTGTGCCATGTGGGTCAGCTCCCTGGCTGGCGATCGATCTTATGCTGCAGAGGCTGCGGATAGCTTCACAGTGCACCACCAGGGATGCCCAGTCCTGTTATTCTCATTTCCCACTTTGCGAATGAGGAAATGCAGCCCCAGGGAGTGAAGGGACTGGCCTGGCAGAACTTCAGCTCTGTTGAGAGAAGGCAGAGCTGGGTTTTGAACTCGATTGTGAGCCCAGAGTCCCTCCCTGAACCTCTGATCCCCACAGCCCAGCGCTCCTCAGCTATTGTGCAGGAGTGGTGGGCCCTGGGGTGCATCTTCAAGAAAGTGGACAGTGCCTCAAGGGATAACAGCAGGAATGGAGGGGGGGCAGCTAGGGGACCAACTGCAAAATCACTGGACTCGCCACTCCAGGCCACAGAAGGGAGCTGCTGCCACTGAGAAGGGCTGCCCTCAGCATCCCCAAGAATGTTAAAAACCTTTCACTTTCTAGGGACCCACCATGGCATCTGCCGTCAGCTGTGCAAGGAGAGCGACTCCGTGGTTCTGTCGGTCGGGTGAGTGCGGGGACCCAACTGAGACCTGGATGTGGGTGGGAAGTAGGTGTGGAGGGCAGGTGGGGCGTTGGAGGGTCACCTGGAGGAGGGGAGGCTATGAGGAGCCAGCAGGCAGACAGCAAGGAGGCTGGGACAGAGGGGGAGCTCCTCCCTTCCAGGTGAGTGTAAACGAAGGTGTAAACAAAGGTGTGCATGGGTGAGGGGAGTCCATCGCAAGCATCTTTGCAAAGCAGAGCAGGTGTAGTGTTTCAAACCAGAGCACTTGGGGAGACAGCCCTGCATTCTAGACTCTAGCACCTCCTTTCATGGCACGCTGGGGTGGGTGTGCATTAGCAGGGCAGCCAAAAGCCCAGCCGCACCCTTTCCCAGTCCTCTCCCTGACAAGGAAGCCAGAAAAATTCAAAAGCTGCTCTGTCCTCACTGCCCTGGGGTGGCTCCCAACAACCTGGAGCCTCAAACACAGGGTGGAGGTGGGGCAGGAGAGACCTGTGGCACTGCCCCGGGCCTGGACCCTCATCACATGGAGGGGGGACAAGGAGGGCCCGTCCGCCCATTGGCGTTTCCTGCACTTCTGCTTAAGGGCACCAGCTGAGGGAACTCTTTCCAGCATCTTGCAGGGCCCACTGGCCAGCTTCCTCCTGGCACTGCTGGCTGAGTAGAGGAAGGAACACAGATGCTGACTGAGGGAGAAAGACCTGGAAAAAGGCTTCACTTTATCATTTGTGGCTCCAAAACCATTCTGTACCCGTTGTTGGACTCTACACGCCCTGTGGCCTGGCTGTGCTGAGCCCCTGGCTCCTCAGTGAACACACTAGCGAGTCTGTGACAAAATTACTGTTTGAATCCAAGACAGACAGCGTGTGGGGCTTGAGAGCACTGCTGTCCTGCCTGGGCCCAGGGGAGCCCAGAATCAGGACCATGGGGATGGGTGAGAGCTTGTATCTGGCAGGAAGATTGTGGGTCCCATGGAGAATTTCCTTGTGCATATTGTGTGTGTGGCCAGCATTGAGAGTGATGAGATGTCCCCCCAAACCCATATTTCTGGATTCTCTTGGATTTGGTAAGGCAACGTCATCCTGGCATATCTGCTGTCGGCAACCTGCTCTCAGGTCACGCTCGGCACAGCTGTGGGTGCCCTGGTCCACCGTGGCTGGTCTGAGGCAGGCGGGCATGTCATCTGCTGGCCCCGGTGGCACTGACGTCTTCAGGATTCTCCTAGGAGCTTGTGAGTGTGGCAGGACGGGCTGAATAGCACCAGGCAAAGCTTGAGTTGCTCATGGAAGATTCAGGAAAATGGGGGAATCAGGAGACAAAGTCGGGGTGGGGGGTTGGCAGAGAGGCCAGGCTGGGGATGGGCAGGTTGTTGGCCCTCGGTACCGCCAGGCTCCGAGTTCCGTGGCAACAGCAGCTCCCAGGTACTGAGCCCGCGCCCCACGTCTGGGGTGTGCCTGCCGCCTCATTCAGCCTCACACCTTACCTTCAGCTGGTGAGGCTTCAAAAGGGGAAGTTGAGGGTGTGGGGTTGGAGAGGGGGATCTGGGTGAAGGGTGCTAAACACAGGTGTTGGGGCTCCGCTGCGGCGACGAGTTCAACTGTCTTCCTTGATGTTTCTTAGGTACCGCATGATCCCCCAGTGCAGGTTTCCAGTTTTGGGAAGAGACTCCATCTGCGCCACCATCCACTTCCTGAGGTCCCTGAAGCTGTACGGGGTGGATCCAGCCCGCGTCGTGGTCTATGGTGACAGTGTGGGAGGGGGGATGGCATCTATAGTCTGCCAAAACCTCCTGTGCTATCCAGACCTCCCCAAGATCCGTGCCCAGGTCCTTGTCTACCCCGCTCTCCAAGGTATTGACTTCCAGAGCCCGTCCTATCAGCAGAACAAGAACGTCCCGTTGCTCAGTCTGGACTTCGGCTTCTACTGTTGGTGCAACTACCTGAGCATCAACCCCGCGTGGAAAAGCGTCGTCCTGCAAAATGCCCACATGCCCCCGGAGGTCTGGGCAAAGTATCAGAAGTGGCTGGGGGCAGAGAACATCCCCAAGAGGTTTAAGACCAGAGGCTACCAGCCCCAGACCCCCGGGCCCCTGAACGAGGACGCCTACCAGGAGTGCCTCCTGGCCCTGGACGTCATGACCTCGCCCCTGCTCGCGGAGGACGACGTGGTGTCGCGGCTCCCAGAAACCTGCATCGTCAGCTGCGAGCACGACGTTCTCCGGGACCACGCGCTGCTCTACAAGAAGAGGCTGGAGGACCTGGGTGTCCGGGTGACCTGGCACCACGTGGAGGACGGCTTCCATGGGGTGCTCTCCTGCCTCGACATGACATTCTTCTCCTTCCCCTGCTCCAGGAAGATCCTGGACGCCACGGTCCGCTTCATAAATGGCTTGTGACCTGCTCCCCGGCCTGCTGCCACGACCAGAGTGTGGACTCTGCCTCTCCTGGTTCTCAACGGGTGAGGACATTCTCTCTGGTGTGGACATTGATGTCGTTGAGCGGTCTCAGGAGGGAGTCAAGGTCACCATCTCCTTCTTGCTCCAGAGTTAGAACCACAGCTGCATGTTTCTGACATCTGAAGGGAGAACAGGAGGACAGACAGAGTTGGGGGTGGGGAGTACCGAGGAGGGGGGGTTTTCTGCCTTGTTCATGTTGGGAAAATATGACTGATAAGCTTCAGTGGCCACAGAGTGGACAAGCTGGAAGAGCTCCAGGGCCCCCTGAGGGAGAGTTCTAACTGCTCAGGCTGCTCCAGGCTGTGTCAACAGGATTGCCCATGGCCTGGACCTGGGAATAGACAACCTCAGGGGCCTTCTCCAATCTGGCTCAGAGGCTGAGTGCTGCTGTCCAGACTCCAGGGGTGTGGGGAAACTGGTGTTGCTCTCGTCCTGTAGGCACCTCCCTGCCCTTCCCCAGCCTCAACTCAGAGCTGAGTTTCAACTGGCTGGGCTGGAGCCTTAGGAAAGCAGGGATGGGTCTCCATGGTGGCACCTTGTGACAGATGATGACAGCATGGAGCTGCCCAGGGGCTGCCTCCAGAGCTCTGGGCTCAGCTGGGCTTCCACAAGTAACATTAGGAGAGTTAGAGGACAGGATAAGGAGGGAAACTGAGTCCAAGGCAGTGACCCAGAAGGCTGCATCTGACCTAACACAACCATGTCCAGGTTCATGGTGGGAAATGAAGGGATGGATATGGAGAACGGTTTCTGTCTTGAGACACCAAACCAGCTCAAATTGGCTTCAGTCAGGAAGAGAATGGATTGGCCTCTGTAGCTATGAATTCCAGAGCTCACTGAGGCATGGTTTGATCCAGGAAATCATGGGTCATGCTGACTTCTTTTTGGGCATGTGTGGTAAGAAGAAATCACTCCCTCCCCTTCCTGTTCATATCCACCTTCCCAGGGCTCAGGAGGCAGCTATGATAATCGCTGCTGCAGGGCACAGACAACACAGAGCATTTCCAAATGTTGGCTTGTGGAGCAACAAATCACTCACCGGCACAGCAATCAAGCGGCCTCTCTCTCTCCTCCCTGCTTTGAAATGGGGACATAATTTTGAGAAATTGGGCATTTATTCCATGCCCAGTTCAGTCAGTGTTGTACATGACAGACTCAGAGCAAACAGGTAACTGACGTGTGTTTGGGGACCATACCCATGAGGCTGTTCCAGTCCCGGGGGTGCCCCCAGCCCCCATGAGGCATCATCATCTACCACTGAGGGAGCCTCTGGTAGGTGCTCCCCTTCCCTGGCTTTGTGAAGGAAGAGACTCATTCGCTGGCCAATAGTCAGTCAATACAAATATCGATCAGATGGCAGAGCCAAAGAATGAACGAGCGGCATCTTCTCCCTCGAATGTGCTCTCGACTGTCCACTGAGTTCATTTCTCTAGTGCCTTAGTGGAATTAGGCCTAGAATTCCTTATCCACAGTTCGAGGACCCAGCAGCTGGGAGATCTGAGAGTTTTACACAACTTGTTGGAGGCATGACTTGAACTCCTCGGGTGTAAACTGGGATAAGGATACTTATTGCCCTTATTTACTGTAGGTCTGCCAGAACTGGGAGAATAAATGGGTACTGTTTCCAGCCTGGAGTTTCTAGTGACTGGTTTCAACAGTAAGCCTGAGAGTGCACCATTGAGAAGCAGAGTAGGAGGCGAGATGGTGGAGCTGAAAAGAGTCCTGTGACATTGTCTCCTCACCTTTACCTCCCTACTCTGGCCCTAGGGTGCTGACCTATATGGATCCCTTTGCCCTCTGCTTCCCTGAGGGTGTGGGTAGTGGCAGACATCCGGGGTGAAAGTTTAAGGAGGAAACAGAGTGACCGTCAGTGGGATGGCCGTGGGCAAGCTGTGTGCCTCCGCTGCTGGCTTGGCTCCTCTTGGGAGCCCTGTTCACACAGCCTGGGGTCCACTGTTCCCCACGGCCCTGGAGTGGGACAGAGGCCCCTGTCACCAGCTACACTAGCCCCCAGCATCTGACACTGTGCCTGGCTGAGCTCTCTGCAAATTATCCAAATTTGAGTTGTCTTAGTGCATTTGAGTTGCTGTTACAAAAATACCATGAACGAGATAGCTTCGAAACAATGGAAATGAATTTCTCCCAGTCCTGGAGGCTGGAAGTCCAAGATCAAAGTGTCTGGTGAGGGTCAGTGTCCTGGTCCCTGCTGGCCATCTTTTTGCTATGTCCTCACATGGTGCCCTGTGGAGTCACTAGACACTATCCCCATGGATTTGAGCCCCACCCCCATGTCCTAATCACCTGCCAAAGAAACTATCTCTAAATAACATCATGTTGGGGATCAGGTTTTAACATGGGAATGTGGGGGTTCACAATCACTCAGCCCAGAGCATTATCATGGTATCTACTTCCTATCGGGAAACTGAGGGACACACTTCTTTCTGATAAAGCTGATGATCAGAGAATGTGGCTCAGGGGTGGGAGCAGGTGTGCCGCCTGATGATAAGCACCCCATCCCAGACAGCACTAACATTCACACGCCTCTCTCTGGGGGTACCTGACCACCCTTGGCCAGAAAACCCCTTCCCCGCAGGCAGGCAGAGTCCACAGCAGACTGAGCGTGCCCAGTTCCTTCTCCCAAGATCTCCATTTGGAAAAGCTGCTTCTCTTCCCATGGGAGGAATGGGTGTGGAAGTAGGAAGAGAGAGAGGAGTGTAATACACCTAGGTTTGAGGGGCACCCCAATTCCAAGGGGGAGGAGCACCCTACTTACTCTCTGGCTTTTACCATTGTGCAGTAGAATTCAAAGCACAAGCATCATGACAAAAGATAAAGTGGTTAAGATAAATTGCTGCTACGGATTGAATAAGAACCCCCTTCCCTATTCACCGTTGATCCCATCGCCAATATCTCAGAGTGTGACCTTATTTAGAAATAGTGTTGTGCAGATGTAATTTGTTAAAATGACAGTCATTAGGGTGAATCCTAATCCCACGTGGCTGGTGTCCCCGCGAACGGGAATTTGGACACAGATATGCACAGAAGACCACGTGAGGACACATGGCTGAGCCAGTCACCTGCTCTAGGTTGCAGAGATGGGGCAGGAATGGGCCCTCCCTCAAAGCCCTGCAAGGAATCAGCCCTGCCCTCACCTCAATCCTGGACATCCAGAAAGACAGAACCTGGAGATAATATTTATGATGTCACCCAACTGTTGCCATTGTGTTAAGGCTGCCCCAGCAAACTGGTGAAGACAACTTTCACAACAAGTGTGAAACTGTACCACTGAGCATTGCAACAAAATCTGCAAGAGGAAGATGCTAGAAATTTCTTAACACAAAGGAACCTTAGGCAGCCCAGAGGAACATAGAGCAGGGATACCTGGCATGGAGTGGTGGACCCAGCACGGGCAGGGGTGGCTGAGTGGCCGGGCTCCAGAGACTGAATTCGAGCTTACACTAGCATGATTTCCTGTGTCATATGCTGGCACTCAGCACCCTCCCCACCCTCCTGAGCTCTTGCCTGTGTCTAGGGCCTACATGCTGGAGATTGGCATTTCCCAGACTCTTGGGGACAAATGTTCCTGTTACGACTCTCCTGAGGAAAACCTTCCTCTAAGATCTGGAAGGCAGGTCTTTAAGTGGGCAGGTTAACAGCAGCTCCTGTTGATGGAAAGTAAGCCCCTCCCCTGACCTTTGCTTCCTTGACCCATTGAAGTAGCTCAAGTCTTCAATTCCCTATATTCAATCTCCTCCTACTTAGGGGAAATAGATTGTGTAGCTGGAAAGTTCTCAGGAGTCAGCCAACACAGTCACATTGTCACCTTCAGTGGGTGGAACAGCTGCATTTCCCAGGCTCTCGGCATTTCAGGGAAGCTGCCACAATGTGTTCTGGCTCTGAAATTCTCTGGCAGGCAAGGTGTTCTCTTACTCAGCTTCCCCTTCCTGGTGGATACAGAGAATGCAGAGGGGGCCAGTGAGAGCCTGTGGGAAGGTGACGTCAGGTGGAGCAACATGGACCCCAAAATCTCTGGTGTTGGGGCCTTCACCACATGCCTCCCTGTCCATGAGTTGAGGGGGAAATAGCCTCTATGGACACTTGTTATAGCATTGGCACTACTAACCGTAGTTGATGAGTCCAGGAAATCGGAAATGGTCTTGTATTTATCCGTATGAGTCTCTGATTCCCCTTCTGCTTAAGAAAAAAAGATTTCATGGAGAATGAGGCAGAAAATACTGACCTGCACTGCTGTGTTTATTCCACAACCTACATCTGTATTTTTTGGTCATGCAAAAGGTATAATGCTTAGAAATGTCAATGGTGATTGATGTTCCAATCCCTCTCATAATTACTGATGTATTTTTCACTATTTGGGGGAAAATTCGGATATTTACATTTTGACAGAGAAATATTCCACTTTCAATTGTATTAAGTTGCAGTTACTGTGTGTAAAAGGATCTCTCAAGCCCGACAACTGATTTTACTACATCATGAAAACATGTGTGCAGAAAACAACATAAACTAAAAGGCCAACAACCAGAAAGAGTATCTTCACAAATATTTTTAAGTCAGTGCAAAAAGATTAGCAGAAATAGAAAAGTAGGTAAAAGATATGAACCCACAAAATAAATTCATGAGTCAACGGAAAACTCAAATCACCAATAGAATATAAAACAGTGCTCTAGTTCACTGGATTCAAAGAAACGCAAAGTGAAACATCATTGAGATGCAATTTTAAAAAGACAAAAAATTTGTCTGAGTTGAAATATCATGATAATATTCACTGATGGTGAGAATACCGAACCACCATTTTTGGGTCCAGTTTGGGTAAGAGTGTAAATTGAAGCAATTTTGCTGAATGTAAGGATGTATCAAAAGTCTGAAAATATTTTTATCTTTGAGATATAATTCTCCATTTAGACATTTATTCCAGGGAAGAATTTGGAGTTGTAAAAGATTTAGGAAAAATCAGAGATGCATTGCCCAACCTTAGGGAACTAGTTAACAGTCCAGAAAAATAACAGAATTGTAGAAAATTCTAAATCAATGAAAACCATATGACAGAAAATCCTAAAACCAATGAAAACCGTATGACAGAATTATATTTATTGACACGGCAGGTTACAAAGGACTTCTTTCACAAGCCCCCTTTTAAACAGTCACACATACAAACATATGCAACCACACAT